GCTGCCGATACGCCGTTGGAAGACGCTAAATCTCAAGGAGGTTACACGATCGCTCTCCCACGTGTAACGTCACGACACACAACACCTGCATATTGTTGTAATGCAGGGTCCAGAGTCTGCCTTTGTTGTTAGAAAAAACAAATATTAATATCACCAGTTGCATATGCAATATTGTAATCAGTTTCTTTAACATGATCTTGGAATAAATAAAACAGAAGGTGGCTCACATCATTATGGCATTGCTGTCATACAAAAACGGGTTATTAGCAGCGTCTTCTACCGGTTCACTGGAGTCCTGTGTATTCAGAAGAAAAGCAAACTTGTTATGTAAAAAATCGCATATTTGAATACATGTGATAGCACATGCCAACCTTTGCTAAGCGTTTCGAAGAATTTTGTTCAAAGCTCTCTGAATAACGCTTTGCAACTCTGCCCGTGGTAGATTTCACATATGTCGACATCTGCTGGGTCACCTCAGTGGCCAGGGTCAGATCATAATTGGTCTATTAGTAATAAAAGAACCCAGTAATTCCGTTGTTTGACAAATCTGCAATTGAAACAAAAAGAAAAGTTGTGAAACTAACCTCTACACCTTTGATTTGGCTTTCACAGAGTTTCTCCATGATTGAGCTCCAAAAAAGGCCCACACATGCAGAATCTTTCTCGTCCTTTTTGATCAGAAAAGTTAACATTAATGTAAATTTTCGAAACCATATCTGATAAAAATTTCGAAACATATCTGATAAAAAATTTGAGGGGGCAGACCATAACATGAGGCGAAGTCTGACAACCCGACAGGACGAAGCCATCAGGTTGCGTTATGGCAATAACATAAGTCTATTCAAGAACGCCCGAGGGAAGACGAAGTCCACTATCACCCCGCCAAGACGAAGTCAGCAAGGTTACTCGGGGGATGGTCAATACGTCACGTAGTTGTCCCGGGACCGGAACGTATTCTAGTTCTCGAACCTGCCCACTCGTACTTAATCAATAATACTTGACCTCGTAATTAAAAAGACATTTTCGAGCCTCCTCGTCGTCTTCAGATAACAACTCCAGAGCACTTTTGTACAGTCGATGCTCCTTTGCCTTGTCGTATGTAAAACTGTCGACTCCTTTTCTGTACTGAAGAAACGGCAGTAGCGACCAAATGGAATGTTTCTTAAAGAAATCGCGTATTACTTCTTGCACTGTTGACATTGCTGTAGTAGTAGGAGTGCTGAAATTTTTTCGCGGGATGCAGTTTTATCATTTGGTTACAGTAACGTGACCGTATGTACGACGTCTTCAACCAGTCATCAGCTTTGAAATATTGTGTCGCAAACAG